CCCTGCCTCCCCTTCTCAGGCCTAGACTGAAAGTGGGACGTGGGAGATGGGATTTGCAGTGATAAGTGGGACTTTTGATTTGTTTCGTGGACATTTTGGAAAAGTCCGCACTGTCACGCCTATAGCTAACTCTATTTATCTGCCTGTCTAAAATCTTCCTGCTGTAGATCTGGTCAAAAATGGAGCACTGGAAGTAAACTATCCTATTACTTAAAATCTTTTTTCCCTGAAAGTTGCTTGTAAACCTGTCTTTATTTCTGCAGATATATTTTGTATTCAAAGTATTCACCAAACAGCTTCTGCCAAAAAATTTCAGTGTAAGATCTGTTTTCCAGAATGATTATTTTATCTGTTTACTCTTTTTACTTTTGATGTATGAATGATTCCCTAAATGGTGAGGTATTATTTCTGCTTCTTGTCCCAGAGGATTGTAAATTTTTTTATCCAAAGAGTAAGAAACTATAAAAAGAAAGACACAACATACAATATATAGCCTCTTTGGCAATATGAATATGGATGACGTTCATCCAGCACACATCCCTTAAGCACCCATTTATACAGAACATAACACCCATTCATGAATAAGAAAATATAGAAATACAAACCTAATAAAACTCTGGAGCCATTTAGTATCAGCCCCAATGTTTGCTCCGTTCTGCAATATTCATCTGGGGCTCTGACAGACTTAGCTGTGGCAACAATGTGTGAGTGTTACTGATTTCAGCTGTCCACAGACTTTCCTCTGGCTACTGCCGCTGTGGTGGGAGTGGTGGAACGGATGTTGTCTCAGTCGTTCCCATTCAAAGTCCGGTACATTAGCTTAAATCACCAATGAAACAGGGTTGTGTTAAGATCGTGAACTGCAGCAGCTGAGGTACACAGCTAAATAGATTTAATGGGTCTTTGCTGCTGAAAATAATGATCCTGTATGGCTCCCTCCTCCTCTCTCCCCCTTGCAAATCTCTATGGAAGGGTTGGAGGTGAAAGCCAAGGGGAATAATAGCATGAAGAAGCGCAGATAAATCGGCCAGAGTGTGACTATCAAAGCCACACTTCTATTCTAATTTATAAGCCTTTGTTTCCTGAAGTAAAAAGAAATTGGTGATGGGATCTTGTTGGGTTGTTTTATTTGTTTCTATCCCAAATGTGTTTTTCTGGTCCCAGCTATCTCGGGATGCACTGTGTTATGTCTCATCAGGTTATTGGTCTGCCTGCCTGGTTTCTCATGAATGGCAGATGTTTAATAGGAGAAAGTGAAAGTTTCATTTGGAAGCCACGAATAGATGTGTCTGGGCAGAAAAATGCATCATTCAAATTAATTCATGTTAAAGTTTTATCTTTCAATAGGTAAATTAATCTTTTTAATTAAAAGCTTTTAATTCAAGTTTTATCTTTTGTCTTAGCACTTGGCTGGCTGGCATAGATCTGGTGAGGTTGCTCTACAGCCTTGTGGCTTTTTTTTCCCATTTCAGCACCATTTCCTTTTAGCATCTCTCTGTGCACAGTTTGAGGTTTTGTTGGTCTTCCTAGAAGTCAGAACTGGAAAACAGACTCCTTTGAAACTCAAGAGAATTTTTGAGAGGGAGAAAGTGGATCAATGGGAGATACTTATTGCTGTTAGAAAGTGGTCCTAGGTCTCCCTTATGGACAGTTGGTGTTTAACTTTACTTATCTAATGCAAGATACCACTTGCAGTCTGGTCAGCAATTGTGCCATTGCCTGTAGGGAACTGAAAAGCATATTTATTTTTATCCTGCTATTGGCTTATGGGATTTGAAAGTATCTTTTTTAGCTTGCTTAACTGTAAATATTGTTACTGGACCTCCCAACCTCTGCCTAATGCTTTCTCCAATATTTGACCTCCTAACCTGCTCCAGGAGATGGCAAATTCCACAGGCTGATGACACGCCGGGTAAGGGAGCGTCTCCTGTTATGGAGACTTTCAATTTTCCTGAGTAAGCCCCTGTTCTCATGCTTTAGGATAAGCAAAAACATTGGGGACTGATCAGCTCTCCTTAGAGCCTTCTTAAATCTTGATTGCCTCTTCTAGCTCTCCCCTATGCTAGGCCAAAAGCTCGCGTTGTTTTCACTCTATTGTTACCTGTCTAGCTTGGCCATGTAAATGTTGTATAAGAAATGCTAGTAGATACTGTGCAACTGCTTCGGGCACAGGACCCACTCCCTATAAATATATTTCTGTATTGTATCATAGTTAATTTTTATGGCTGTTCCTGCTACCCCATCCAGGAGCTCTTTGAGGAGGAGTGAGTCATACATTACCACCCCACAGCGTGCAGTGCACATTCCCACAAGCTCTTCATAAACCCGCAGCTGGAAACCTCCAAGAGGACACCTGCTCTGCGTTTGGTGCTCAGAGCAGGGACTCAAAAGAGGCTTTTCAATATACTTCCAACTGAAAGATTTCTTTTTTTCCTCCACCACTGATTACTCCTCACCTCACACTTGTCAAGTCACCTCATTGCCAGGACCCTCTGCTTGTCTCAGATATGTGTTGCAAATCCTGATTTAGGATTCTGCTGACTATGCCAATTTGTCACAAATGGGTGATTTAGATTGCTTAAAGAATCACCATCAAAGCTATTAGCAAAAATGGTTTTAATATGATGTTGTAAAAGTGCAACTTAACAAAGTTCAGTGGCAGGGTTCACTCTATTACTGTACGGCACAATCATTTGAACAATGATTCAAAACTACCAAGACAAAATCAAAGTTACTAAGGCACAAATCAAAGTTACCAAACTACAAGGTTACGCACAATATCGGTCGCTTACCAAAGATCTGCTGTTGGTAAAAGGTCTTTCTGCCTCGAGGAACAACCTTGAAAGGCGTCCTAGCTCAAGGGGAGATCACCGCCATGCAGCCAGGCCACTTAGCCAGGAGAGCTCAAAGAAAGCTCACTTAGGCTGTCATATTTATAGAATAAAGTGGTTGGCTTGTAGTCAAATCGCATGCGATGGGAAAGGTATGCATGAGACGCCTTGTACCCACAACTTTCTTTGTTCCTTGATAAATGAGTCTTGGAAAAGCCACCCGCTATTCATGTGTTAATCACATGATCAATGTTCCAAGTTCATATGCATCGATGCTCACTGTGTCACTCTGCTCCTTTGTGGATTTTCAGAGAACAGATTGAAACTAGAGGACTTCTTGGCCCGTTTATGGCTTAGGCTTTTACCTCCTTTGGAGCCAAACTACCGCTAGTTTGGTTAAGGTGTTGAGCGCATCCGTCACACTATGTGGTCATATGTAACGCTCTTTCACTCCCCTGCTACCTGCTATATCTCCTGTTCATAAGCATGCAGGAAGCTGAGTGCATTTTGTACTGTCTGGTGGCTTCATGAAATCCCTGCAAGGTGTCACAAAGCAAATTTCAGTAGCATGATTTTTCTTGTGGCAACCTGTGGAGAGGTGGATAGAAACACTCCACACCTTCCTGCTCTAGCAACAGCTAGGTATGTTCTTTTCAGCTTTGTAACTCAAGGAACCTTTGACCTTCTGGGGTTATTTATTTGAGTATTGTAAAGGCTGAAGATGCCGAGAATCACTTTTGGCTCTTAACCTCAAAATGGGTTGAAAGAGAAAAATCTAAACCCCAGATTTTTCAGCAGTTTATGAGCATTTTAATCAGTGAAGCTGATTTTTTCATCTATGAAACCTGGACTATCCATGATAGACCTGAAACTTTCCATTGAGTAGAATGATTTAATATACAAGGAGTTAATCTGACTTTTTGTTTAGCATAATTTTCTTATCTTCTTTGCCCCCAGTTCCTGGCTTACTGATTTCTGTATTTTTCCCCTTATTATCTAGTTCTAGGAAAGCTAACCTCTCTCTTCCTCAGTCCTAAATACAGTACATTTTCACCGTCACAGCTACCTGTGTATCTTCGTCAGTTATCGCATCTCTTATCTGACCGTATCTGTTCCAGGTCTTCAAAAACTGCTCTGCACCTCATATCTCCTCATATCTCAGTGGAGATATGTTCTGCAGGATCAGGGAGTCTCAGTCCTCCTTTCTAGTTAAGGATAATTGTCCTGATAATTTCCAAGGGCACAAATCTTCCCATTTTAGTTTCTTTGATATGGGCCAAAGAAATAAAAATTGAGAGCCCAGATAGACTTCCCCACTTTCAAGTCTAAGGATGGTTAAGACCATTACAGACAGAAAAATCAACTGCAAAATTTGGACCCTGCTGCCAGCCTTCTCAGGGCTGGAAGCTGTGCCCTGGGCAATGCTTCATATTCTTCCCTTCTCCAGAGCTGTCTGAAGTGCAGATTTGGACTTTAACTTCTAAAGTTTGACGGCTGTTTGTGATCTGGGCTTTTGATTCCATTTAATCTCTAATAGTTTCTTTTTCCAAACCTTTGGGTAGTTGCCCTTTCCTAGAACACACGCTGAGCACAAGAAACACCCTTTTTAAAAAACACAAACACTCAGAAGAGGAACACAGAGAACTGAAAGAGCTTCACCAAGAAGTTTTGTTTCTCTGTAAACCCTACATAGGAAACCCTGGCCTCTGTGCTCCCTCAGCATTTGCTGTATTTATTTCTTTTCCTCCTCTCCAGATTGGGAGCGCTTTCTGCCAAACAGAGAAAGGCTTTGTGAGATGAGGAATGGCTCAGATTTTTGCAGCTTGTAAAGTATGTGCTGCCTCCTTCTGAAAGCTGAAGGCTAATTTCTGCCCCTGTTGCCCCTCCTTCCCCCAAAAAGCAGCTCTTTTTAGTAATACCCCTCCTCTTACCCTCACTCTTTTGGAAAAATGCTCATAACAGCTCCTGGCAGAGCAGAGCAGGGCAGAGATCCTGCCGCTAGCTTTTCTTCAAAGGAGAGCAGAGGAAAAAAGCAGCACTGAATTTTCAAGGGAAATTGGCTGCCAAAGCTGAGGAGCGAACGATAAGAGTGGGGGGATATTTCCCCCAACCCAGGCATCTTCCCACCCGCTTCTCCCTCCCATGGGTATGTCCCCGAGATGGACTCACTTGAAGATTGATGCTCTCCCCTTCCGAGGCCATCCTTTTGCCCTCAAGTCTCTTCCTTTGCAGACTGCACACGAAGCGGGGCACTCAGCGCTCCCAGAGACTCTTTGCTGGACCGGGACGCGCAGCTGCTGGAACAGACCTGCTATTCATCTGCCGGCGGCCGGCCGCCTTGGCATCAGCTGGGGGGCGAGAGAGGGGGTGGCACACCAATTCCTCATTGTCCAGGCCGTCCGTGGAACAAGCATCCCTCTTAGACTTTCCGTGACAGTTGTGTTCATTACGTGTCTGTGCTACCTCTCCGAGTCCAGCTGAGCCTCATGAGCTCACTTGGGCTGGGACACGGTGATGCAGCCAGCGTACCAAGAGGTTCCTGGCTTGGGCTGTGCAGCCACAGCAGCTATCCCAATCTCTCTCTCTCACCAGTCCACAGCAGAGCGTATGGATGAAAAGCTAACAACTGAAGAGATTAGGTCCAGAAAAGTGTGCCTGCTAGCTGCTGCTACTGCTGCAAAGATATTGTTACATCTCAGATAAAATTTGCACTTTACTCTCTTTATAGTCCCTTCTTCTCATTTTTCTCCCCAGCCAAAGTGCCCTTCCTTTCCCCTCCCCAATGCTTTTTCAAGTTGAATTTGATATGTCTGGTCTTAGCTGAAATTCAATCTTGCTTTTTGCTGAAGTTAAAAGCAACTACGAATGATACTGGAATGGAAATGTCTGCAGCCAGATTCAAGTCACAGTGTAGAAAAATATGTTGCTATTATTAGGTGGAATCCTCAGGCAGAAAAATCAGCATAATTCTCCAGATTTTAGAGAAACTCTGCTACTCCGTACTACCCGCAGATCAGGTAGGCATGTTTGGCTTCTGAAGGACAATTTCTGTCATTACAATAGCATAGAAAATCTATGGTAAGTAATATATTCTGTTTAAACAGTTTAGCCAAATGCATGTTCTAGTACTCCAGCCTCACTAAAAGTGCTGACACGTCTGTCAGTAGACAATCCTGTTGCATTGATGCTTCCCAGCAAAAGGCCTCATTTTGCAATGAAAATACCAGTGCTTAGTACTGCAAGTTCATTTCAAAGTGCTGATGAATTTAGCCTCTCTGCACTCCTCTCAAACAGCTTTTTTTTTTTTTTTTTAATTTAGAGATATATGAGCTGAAGCAGTGAGATGTGTTTAGGGACTGGGCTAATGTCACACAGGAAAGCAGGGCTAGGATACGGCTCATTTCATCGTTAGGGTTTGGCCCAATGCTGATCCTACAACCAAAAGCCTCTCTCATGGGTCCTACTTTTGAATGAAAATTAAGATCCCTATGTCTTGTTATCACTGAAGTGATTGAATCCTACACGGAAATGGAGGTAATGGGAAAGAAGCTACTCATTGCTTCTCTTTAGCACGTGTTGACTTTTGTTTAATTTTTTTTTCCAATGTAAGGAGTATTTAACCCAAAATGCAGCCATCTGCTGCTGTTGTTGACTTGTTCTCCTGATGAGAATCTGCATGTTAACTAAAAACTCCCTGTAAGTATACTATTGCACAGATGTCAATATAGATAATTACCTGTTTTAATATACTTTTCTTAGTGTAGTCTATAAAAAGATGCTACGGTTGATCAGTTTATAAATAAATATTGTTTATTAATAGATAATTTACACTGAGTAGGTGTACACTGTGTTTATTGAGGCGCTCCTGGGATTTAAAAGGACTTCATGTTGTGCAGGTCCTTTGTGAACAGGCTTCTAGTAAATGACACATGAAGTCTGGCCAAAGTTTTTTGAGTTCCTATATGTGCCATAAGCATAAAAAAAAGTCCAAAATATCTTCTAGTGGTTAGACAGGAATGAAGGATCTATCATTTTATTTAGTAGATAAATATCACTAGCGTACAAATTTTAGACAAGACTGCATGCTATATAACAATGTGCCTTTTAAAAACTATTTTTACCTAGTATGTCTAAATGCTATGCTAGGGACTTTTTTTTTACACACTCTCCAGAGAGGTATTGCAAAGAGTAATAATCCTGCACTATGTCTTCAGAATACCCAGAGTAATCAGTCAAAACTTACAGTAACCCTTTGTAGACACTTCACTTAAACCAGGTTCTCAATGCCTTCTCCCAGGATAACATGAAAGAGTATTTCTGCAAAGCTTATTAGTAGTAATGGCTGTATGAGCCTCCCTTGAAGTGTCTGGAGCCAAACACATTAGAATGAGAAAACTTCAAATAATAAAATTTATCTTGGAAACTATTTGTCTATGTCATTAATAGCAAAGCTCAGAGCCAAAAAACCTGAGAAGAGAGGGCAGTGAGTTTATTTTAACTTGAATTATAATAGCTGCCCAAGAAAGGAATGCCTCAATGAACAATTATAACTAAAATTTACTTGTTACTAAATGCAATTACAAAGAACTACATTTTTCAGACTATCTTTCTAGTAACTGTTAATTATGATGCAAGAATGCACCATCGTAATGGTCCAAAGATTAAGGCATAGAAAATGCAGCCCAACTTCTAAAAGAGATTGTGTGACATGAGTGGCAGCACTCACCAGTTTTAGACTCAACAGCCCCTGAACTCTCTTCCAGTCTGTTTTTATAACACAAGACAAGAGGGAGACCTCCAAAACCTGGCTGTTCTAATGGATGTTGATTGATTAGAGACTCTTGCTGGTAGTGCGTACTAGAGATGGATGGGGAAAGAGCAGTGTTCCTTGAAAGGAGGGTGGGGAGCATCTGAGGCATCATGAAGAACAAGTGTGTGATTTCCCTTGCAAGATCAGCCCATGCTAGCTGAGAGTGGAGGGGAGGCTCTGTGGATCAGCCACATTCACTTGGGAGGAGCATGCATGGCAAAGTTGTTTATTTCCACCCCCATCCTCTTCCATCCCTTATGCCAGCCAAAGTGCTTGTGCAGCCACCCAAGAAACCAGACAGAAGAACTTTCTTCCATCTGGAAAAAAATAAATTCGCAGGCTGTTTTTCTGGCTAGGATCAGCTCTGTGACCTGGTTCTGCACATAACTGCACAAACAGTTACACTGGCAGCAGGGAGGGCGCCCGGCGGGAAAAGGAAGGAGCAGCTGGGAGTGGAGAAGGGTGGGGACAAGCCGGTTCGAGCAGCATTGCTGCTGAATGTGTAACCACAGCGTTGCAGTGCTGGTGCCACCAGTGGGGCTGGCCTGTGCAAAGGAGACATGGGAAGAAGAGCTGCAATTCTTGGGCTTCAGCACTAGCCAGTAGAGACTGCTGGCAGTAGAAAGTAGGCCGTGCTGTGTGAAGACTGATGCAAGAATTGCTCTTCCCCACTACTCTCAGATTTGTTGCGGTACTCGAGAGGGAACCATAACCAAGACTGCAAGAGTTTCTGTAGAACAACTACACTTCTAATAGAGCAAATAACAGGGCAACTTCACTTTTTAACTCTTCCCAGGCCTAATTTTGTGCTACAAAAATGGTCTGGTTTTGTTTGTGAGACACCCTTTCTCCAGTCTGTAATTTTGGGCCACCTCTTCACTGTATCAGGAAAGAAGTGTGCTACTCCTCTATTATGGGTTCATTCAGCTGATTCTCTGAGAGCATATGAGTAGAGCTTGACCTGTTCAGCCTTACAGAATGAAAACCACAAAGGATACTGATGCTGACTACAAATCCACTAGACTGGAAAACTCTAGGGAGTTGGAAACGCAACATTAGCACAGGAACTAATGCTAGAAAAAAAAATGCTAGGTTAGAAATTAGAGGAAGATTCTTGGCTGCTTAAGTGCTGGTGTTCTGGAGAAGCTAGACAGTGAGAGTGGCAAGGAGAAGCAACTGAACTGGACTGGAGATGGAGTTTGGTGAGTTTACCAAAAGGATTACCTGATATGGCTGCCTGTGACAGCCAGGGACTGACCCTGCTAACCATTCTTGTCCCAGGTCCTATTTTCTGTGTTTCACTGGTGCTTGTCTTTGAAAAGAAAAACTCAGCAATGCTGTAGTGCATGCCACTGTAAAAGTGAAGGCAAGTGACTAGGTAGCCAAAGATCCCTTTTTTGTAATTTCTTTAGGAGCATTAGTCCCATTGTCTTTCAGTTAATGGTAGGGTTATAGCTCCTGGTTGGCAGGACTAGCTTCACCTTTTATAGGAGAGAACCACAAAGCATAGTGTTTGGAAGAGTAATAAACTTAAGGAAGGCTCTGGAGACAAAGACACAAAGATGTAAGTAATAGTTCTAAAATTCTCCCAGAGGTTGATAAATGAACATGTACTCATCCAATGAATCACTAAATTATATGAAAGCAAGGGTAGAAGGGATTTTAAGGAGTTACCAATTCCTTCTCCTGCTGCAAGAGCAGAGAGGGTCAGTGGTACCTGTCCTGTTAGCACGGATGTTGCTCCAGCCTGCTTCGAAAGCATTCCAGATGTGGAGATTCCCAAGGCAGCCTATCCCAGTGCTTCAGTAACACTGTTCTAACAGCTAGAAATGGTTTTGCTAATACCTAATAAAAAAGCATCCCTGCTGCAATTGTAGCCCGTTATTCTTATCCTCTCCACGTGGGAGAGAAGAGATTATTTCCTTCCTCTTTGCTGCAGTCGTTTACATTTTTGAGGACTGTTATCATGTCTCCGTTCAGTCTTCTCTTCTCTATATTTAAGAAAACAAAAATTCCTTTGCGGTTTCCTCATAGGTTATATTTCATAGATCTCTGAGTGCTCTTGTTGCTCTCTGAACCCTTGCCTGTTGAATTATTGGAGAGTTTTGAACCGTTGGCAGTCTGCATTAGCACAGGTGAAAATGGTCATAGGGCTACAAGTGAGAGAAATAATCAAGAAATAATCTTCTGCCTATTTGGATTGATAATGGCAGTCTGGAGCACAGACTGTAATTTTTGTGGACTCTTACTAAGTGCAAGTTTTCTGTCTGTCCTTGAGAGAAAATCACTACTTCCCACTAGAAGGACAGGACAGACACTAGACAAGAAAGATTCTTTTAGCGCTCTTCAACTTTTTAAAATGTTGTGGTAAGCCACAGTCAGAGTGAGAATAGAGTAAAGGTGGATCAGGCTGCAGGGAGTCCAAGGTCACCTCCTGAAGCTCATGTAACCAGCTACTGATAATTCCCAGAAATCCTAGCAGCTCAGGCTTGCTTTGTCTCTCACAGGA